ATCCCCAGCCCTTTTTGATAGTTTATTTTGAGACAGGGGCCCACCAAATTGTCCAGACTGGGCTTGAACTTGTGATCTTTCTGCCTCAGCCTCCCAGGGCTGGGATTACAGGTGTGCACCACATCTGGCGGGTTGCAGTTGTTTGAAGTGGCCAAGTTTTTAGATGGTTTATTACCTAGCAAGAAATAATCAGAAGAGTTAAGGTCATTAAACAGAACTTTAACACCTGAGAAATGGAAATAAGCCAGAACTGCTAGGTCCTATTTGCAACCTAGCACTCAGGAGGCTGAGGCAGGAGGATCTCAAGTTTGAGCCCAGCCTGGACGATGTAGTGGGACCATCTCTCAGAGGGAGAGAGGGAGGGAAGGAGGGAAACAGAGGACAGAGGAAAGAGGGAGTGTTTTGCATTGATTAAATTCCTGCAGGAACAGCTACATAGTCTGTGGGCACCAGCGAAAAATGAAAACACAGGGCTCCCTGTCTAAACAATATTAGTCACTTTCAAGATGGTGACCATGGAGCACCAGACCAAGCCCAGTGCTCTCCTCACTATGGGGCCCTCAGTGACCACAAGGTTACAAACGGCCAGCAACAGAATCTCTGCCCCTTTGGTATCTCATCTCTGATGACAGCTCTCACAAAACTGCCTGGAAACACCCCAACTCTCTTATTATTATCATTGTTGTTATGAGACAGGATCTCATTCTGTTGCCCAGGCTGGCCTCGAAGTCCTGGACTCAAGAAGTTCTCCTGCCTCAGCCACCTGAGTAGCTAGAACTAGTCATGCATCACTGTACCCACCTGTGCAGGTTAATCCTGACACCGTGATTTCTGGGCTTCTTTTCCTCTTTTGAAAATTTTACTGGGGCCGGCCAAATAGCTCAGCAGATGAAAGCACCTGCAAGTAGGCACAGGGACTGGGAGTTCGATCCTCAGGCCTGCCCTACTGGCCCTGCCCCTACCCCCAGCGTGCGCTGAGACTGCAATTGAGACTGGCCATGGTGGCGCAGGCCTGTAATCTCAGCTCTTGGGAGGCTGTAAACAGGCAGATCACTATGAATCTGATCTAGTAGTGAGTCCCTGAATACGCTGTAGACCCTTCCCTAAAAAATACAAGTAAGTAAAAAATATAATTTTTATTGGTACATTTGAGATTTACATAATGATCACATGCATCATAGGGAATTTGGACCTCTGCGTGATATATCCTGCTTCTTTTTCCATCCCCCTCCCCTCCCGTCAATCCCTTTCCCTCCTCATTCACAAATGACACCATGGTTTTTTGTTTTGTTTTGTTTTGTGGTACCAGGAATCAAACTCCGGACCTTGTGTTTGCTGGGCAGGTGAGCTAGTAGTTAAGTCTTCCTTCCCACTCCTTGCTCTCCCCAGCCAGAGCACAGCAGGGGGCCAGGGACAGGTGGATGAACCCTAAGGAGCCACTTTCTTGACTCATCTTCCTAGGGGACCCTGTGGTTGGGCAGAGAGCAGGACACACAGTGTCACCAAGACCTGACAGTTGCCGTGGCTGTCACGCTGTCCTCGCACAGGCTCTGGGCAAAGCCTCCCGCAGCCCAGAGCCACACAAGCCTTGTTCCAGGGGCCTCATCAAAGCCTGAATCTGAGTCCCGACTGTCTATGTCCTTCTGCCCGCCACCCAGAGTATAAGGGCCTATAGAAATGGAAAAATGAATTTATTCACAATTCAGCCACATGCAGGGCACGCAGAAACGCTTGGTCACAGAAGGGGTGGGACCAATGCGCATGTGTGGGGTTCCAGGCTGTGGCCTCCAAAGGCCAGGAGAGGTTGACCTTTTTTGACACCGGGGCAGTTTCCACTCTCAGCCTGAGGAGGCTGGAGAAACAGCTTGCCCTGCCGTTCAGGCCTACCTCTGTGCCCCAGGCTGAAGGGATCCTCCTGCTCCAGCCTCCCGAGAGCTGAGGTCCCAGATGTGCGCCACCACAGCCGGCCAGAATTCCTAGTTTTTGAAGGCTCTTTTTAACCTCTTAGAAACACTCCCAAGGAAAGTGGCTTCAGAACAAAGTTCTGGCTGGGTTTGCTGTGTGTTTTCTCTGCATGCTCAGAGAACTCAGGCAGCCACACCCGGTCTGCCCTTTGGCCTTGGGCAGGTGTCCCCAAACCCCAGAAGACAAGGGATAAAGTCAGATTCCTTACTCTCCAGCATGGCAACTTAGAGGTGAACTAAAACCCTCAAGGGGGTGGAGTGCCTGATGACATAAAGCCAACCCTGGACTTCAGTCAGGCCACCTGGGCCCAGGCAGGAAGTGTCCCGGAGATGGGGGAATGAACCCCAGCTTGGACCCTCCCCAGCTGTGTGACAGCAGAGTGGCTGCTTCACCTCTCTGAGCCTTGGTGTGAAAAGGGAAACACTCCCCGCAGCCCATGTAGCCATTACCCCAAAGCCCAGCTGCAGAGAAAACATGGAGACATTTGAGCAAACCCTGAGGCTCAGGCCTGAAGTGGAGGGCAGAGTGGGCGCCTGCACAGGGCAGTCACAGCCCTTCCGGCCTCCCACAAGGCCACTCTTTCATCTGTTTCACTAACCAGGTAGGCGAGAGTCACAGGGCCGTCCTCAGCCTGCGGGCCTGGGCTCCACAGAGCTGGGACTGAGCCACAGTTGTCTATCAGGGAGGGTGCTGTCAAGAAACATGAGGACTGCGGAGGAGGACAGGGAAGGCCCCCGCCTGCCGAGCTGGGGGGCCTTGGAAGAGGCCCCCAGGAGTTTTCCCTTTGGCTTTCACTTTCTCTGAGATACCCTAAGAAAGAGGAACCCACAGGAGGGACTCCTGGCCTCCCTCGGTGGCACCGAGGCACCGAGTGAGACCCACAGCTGGGACAGTGACCAGGAACATTGCCTGAGCTCCCTGCCCTTTCTGGAAAACATATCCAAGTGTTTCCTGGCTGCCAGCAACTACAGAGGCAGCCCCTGCTTCCTTCTGAACTAGGTTACAACAACAACCTTTGATGCCCCTGGGGCTCGGCCTTTCTTGCCCAGGGCTGGGAGAATACCAGCATGTTCTAGGGAGCACAGAGGAAAACATCCCAATCTGACACCTACAGTGGCGCAGGGCCAGGTCTGCACCCGACCCACAGGCAGCCCCTGCAGACCTCCTGCTGCTCCCCACCTCTGATGTCACAAGCTGCCCTACCCAGTGTCCCTTCCAAATGGTGCGGCCAGCAGCCCTCTCACCCCAGAGCCACTGCACGAGCTACTCCCCTGCCTTCCAAACCTTGCTAGCTTGGTAAGCTGGAGTCCTGGGGGACACCTTCCCCAGCCCCAGTGGCCCTTGCCACAGGCTCCTTGTCAGCAGGACAGGGCTGAATTGCATTGTGGGAAGGGCTGGCTCCTGGGGGGCACATATCACGTGTCAAGTGACATCTCAGGGAAGGTTTGAGACCCCATCTAGCAGAAACTTATAGCTTCAGTCCTTAGCCAAGGAAAGTGAAACCTATGGTTTGTCCCCAGCATAACCCAGTGGTCACGCACGGTGTTTCAGAGCCAGTTAACACTCTCAGGAAGGAGCGTGCCTGGGCAGGACCAGTTACAAGAGTGGGCTTTAGAAACCGGTGTCCCTACTGCCCCTCCATCTTCTCACTGCAAAGTGACACAGCCACCCAGACCCAGGCCTCTCCAGATCCGTGAGCCCAAACTCTTCCAACATTCCCCAGAGGCCAGCTGTGGAGGTGCACACCTGTAATCCTAGCACACAGGAGGCTGAGGCAGGAGGGTTGCCATGAATTCAAGGCCAGCCTGGGCTACACAATGAGTTCAAGACCAGTCCAAACAACATAGCAAGATGCTGTCTCAAAAACTGCATAAAAAAAAAGAAAAGAAAAAAAGAAATTCCCCAGGCTCAGGTGTTGTTCTAGCCCAAAAGAACAAACCAAATTTCTGAACTTAGAGAAGTCAAGGAACAAAACCTCGCCAGCCGACAGGTCAACAGCAGAGCTGGAATTGGAACCTGGCTCTCACCCCAGGGTGCTGTCTTCTCTGTGTGGGAGATAAGGTAGAACTCCAACCCTCTTACATGGCAGTGCTCAGTGACCAAGGACCAATCAGCAGGGACCCGGTCCAGTCCTCAGGACTTCCGGTCGGGAAGGGGGATGGGGCCTTTGTTCTTGGCAGCGACTGTTACCAGGCTGCAACTTCTGGGAAGCGGGAAACAGCTCACTGATGGGAAACAATGCCAGCGTCCACAGGCACTCAGCGCTGCTCCTATCAGCCTGGGAAGATGGGCGTGGGGTCTCCACAGCCTGGGTGTTATTACCACTGCAGCAGAGCTCTTGTGTACCTGCCTTGGGACTTGTGAACAGCCAGAGGCCAAGAAGGACCCCATCCCTCAGTCTCCACCCCACCCAGAGCTGCAGGCTGCAGTCAAGGGGCTCGTGGGCTGCTGCCTGAGCTGCGCCCGGGAGCAGGGTGTCCTTCCAGCTCAGTCTCAGAAGCCCAAGGCTGAAGCAGTCCTCCCGCTTGGGTTTGACATTCATTCCAGGCTGGAAGCCTCCCTTTCCCAAGCACTAGGATGTTCAGCCAATCCGGCTCTGTGCGTGTGTGTGTGTGTGTGTGTGTGTGTGTGTGTGTGTGTGTGTGTGTCCCGGAGAGGCTCTGAGGGTCCTCAAAGGGCAGCCTGTGGGCCAGAGAATGAGGCTCCGTGAGGAGCAGCCTTGGCAGACAAGGGAGAGCTTTGGGCAATGAGACGGAGAGGCTAGCAGGAAGCAGGGATGTTGGGGTGCAGAAGGAGCCCCGACCCTGAGGAGAGACTACTCTGACCCTCCTGCGCAGAGCCTTTCAAACTCTACTCCATGATTACTGCTTAGCCTTACAAATTATCAGTTTTAAAGAATCGTATGGATTCTAGATTATACAGACTTCAGAGGGTTAAAAACTACAAAGGGAAAGAAATAATTGCAAAGGGCAAGAGGTAAGGGACTATGTGATTTTGCCAAGGTTGTCAGCATGCCCTGCGGTGCCCATGAGCATGCTAGGCACACCGGCTCCACTCTGGTCAGAGACAATGACAAACACTCAGAGTCCTCCTGGCCGGTGTCCAGGTCCTGATGTGTGACCACCTCTCTCAGTGGTCCAGCCGCTCCAACTTTCCCCAAAACAACAGAGTGGTTTCACAGAGTACCTTCTGACTCCTGAAGCAGCCTCAACTTCCTCCAGAGAGTAATCGCTGGTGAGTAAACACAGCCCTCCAGCCTACTGGTAAGTCCAGGAGTCCCCGCAGCTGACCCACAGATGTGTCATCAACACTTGTTTGTCAGAGGCCCAAAGAGCAGGCGCAGGCTGCGAGTCAGAGTGGCTCCACTCCTTCAGGTATACGACGGGGCACCTGAAATCCGGCTGCAACCACCAAATCCTCTCTCCTTTGGGTGCAGAGTGAGGCCAGATGTTGTGTGAGGGTCTTTCTGGGGCCCACACCTGACACAGTAGCATGGGTCAGATGACAGGGCTGGGAGAGGGGTGTCACAAGCGTTGAAGATGTAAGACAGATGCCCTTCATTCCCAAGACTGAGCAGGAAGGCCACAGAGCAGTCGGGGACTCCATGATGGATTGCTGTCCCTGCTCCTCGCCAGAAGGAAGTCCCTAGGCAAAGTGGGCAGGCTGTTCTCTGCAGCAACTAGCTGGACAGGGTCTCCAGCCGGGGCTGGGTCTCCAGCCGGGGCTGGGCGCTGTGGCTGCGGAGGGCCTACAGGCACCTGGGTCTCCAAATGCTCCCGCCTTGGGGACTGCTGAGACATTCTGAGCTACATGCAAGGGTCCTGGGCCCATCTGGGGCAGTAGAACAGGTGCACATAGGTCCCACTGAGCCCAAGCAGGCCCAGCACAGAGAATAATGTGACAGGTACAGCTCAGATGGTACTGGCTCTGCTGCCACCACGCCATCCCTCGACTTCCCTTCTGACTCAGGAGAAAACCACAAGCGCTGGCATAGGGCCCACTGGAGCCAGCTTCACTGTAACTGGGCTGGCAGTGTGCCAACAAGGCCCAATGGGCATACTGCTGAGGCCCAGGGAGAGAGGGCACAGGGGTACATAGGACTGGCTTTGTGTCCCCTCTTTCGGCGGGCACTGGCCCCAGCAGTGAGTGTCTGGGTCAGGTCAGGGGCTGGCACTTTTGGCAGCCACAGGAGGCAGGGTGCCCATCCCGGTGTCCTGTGGGAAGCCAGGTCCTCAATCTGAGCCATACAGGCCTCTGTCCACCAGCATCCCTGGTGCCAGCTGGTGCCCCCGAGAACCTTGGCCACCTTCCCTGCCCAGCCCAGACCGAGCCTCACTTCCCAGAGGGCCAGGGGTCCTCCTTTCCTTCCTCTTCCACAGAGAACATGAGGTCCCCACAGTTGCCCAGGGGTGGCTCCGTCTCCTGCTCGGGGTAGCGGGGGGCTTGGTCCACCTCCAGCTCCGCCTCCAGCTCGGGCCCTGCCAGCCCTGCCACGCGGCCCTCAGGCACCTCTGTCTTCACGCTCCCCACGATCACCGTGTCAGCTTTCATGATGTAGATTTTCTCTGCAAAGCAAAGGCTTGGGTGAGGAGAGGAGACCAGAGCCCCAGGGCAGGAGCTAGAAGACAGCATGAGGGCAGAGTCACTCTGCTCCACTCCTGCTGTGTGACTCCAGGAGAGTGACACAGCCTCTCTGATGCACAGCATGGGGCACCTCCCGTTAAGGCAAGGATCTTCTAGGTACTTAGAGGACGGTTAGGACAGACACAGCGCAGGAGGCCAGCAGCACGGGGTGGCCACAGCACTTGGGAAGGCAGCAGAGCCAGGCATCTGCCAGCCCTTGTCACACACCAACTCTGAGGCTCTGCCTACACTGTCCTCATTTCACCAGTGGGCACCTCAAGCCTGGCAAAGTCAGAGGACCTCCCCAAAGTCATCGAGGGAAATCCTAAAGGAAACCCCGGCCCACCCGTGGCTGCTGCTGCTCTTATCCACATGGCCAAAGCAGGCAATGGGTGACCCAGCCTGGCCCTATTTGCCTGGAGCTAAAAGTCTGGCATTCCAAGAGCCCCTTAGTGCAGGCGAGACCATCTGGCAGGTCGTTGCAGGCGCCCAGGCCCTGCCAACTAGCAGCAGGTGGGGGCTGCGGTGGTGTTCTGTGGTGTCCTGTGAGCACAGAGGGGTGCTGAGTCAGTGTTGCTGGGATGGGTGACGCAGCGCTGACACGAGGCCCCATCATGGTCTTTGGACATGGAGGCTCGGGGGAGGCAGGCTGCCGAGAAGCTCCAGCTCCCAGCTGGCCTGGCCTGGGCCCCAGAGGCCACATGCGGAAACTCAAGAGGGAACTTGAAAGCAGGGGTGTGGGGCAGCAGGGGCTCAGGGACGCCTGCCTCTCTGGGTAACCCGGTTACACCCCTCAGAATCAGGAACCCCAAAGAGATTCTCAGGGGTCCTGGCATCCTCAGCCTCATTGTGCAATGCCAGCTCTGCTATTTTGGTTTCTGATCCTCCCAAGAAAGAGAAATATTAGAAATGTCAGCCAGAACCAGGGACCAAAGGAAAGCGACCAGCTCAGAGATACACAGAGCAGGGACCCAGGCCTCTACTCACACCCTCCATCCAGGCCTGTGAGTCCTGAGCAGAGGGGCTGGGACAGAGACCGGGGCCAGAGGTCACACAAAAGGGTCCCCAGGTGGTGACATGCCAGAGGAGGGCAGAAGGGGTGAAGGAGGAGAGACAGGAACAGGACGGCTGGGCTGGAGAACTGGGCTGGTTTGGTCAGAAGCCAGGAGGGGCCTCTGGCTCTGCTCAATCCCGGGCCTGCCCGCCTGCAGCTGTGGGGTCTTTGGGGACTGCTAGGGCCTCCTGCCCGCTCTCCTGACCCCCAGGGCAGCTGACCTATGGGGGAGAATAGAGGCTCCACCGGTGCCCAGGGACAAAGATACAAATCCACACTTTGTCCAGCCTGGGAAGTGCTCTTTGGGGTACCAGGAGGACAGGGGGTCACCTGCATCTGTGTCTCAGGGGACCTCCAAGGCCTTCCCTGGGCACCCTGTCCCGGAGAGACTGGCAGGAGGATGGCAAGGTTGGCCCCCGGGGGTGCCACCTCTGCCCCCTTCCCCCTGGCTCCGCCCCCACCCAACTTCCAGGCACTGCAGTCCTCTCGGCGGCGTCACACCCTCCGGCTAGGACTTCTTAGGAAATCTGAAGGCAGCATTTCCCAAAACCCTGCCTTGTGCTCTGATACAACTTACTGAAAGCTGCAATTGCAAAAGTCTGTTCAAGACGAAAGACACCCCACAGTTCTGCCCCCAGCGCCTACAGCTGGAGGTGCAGAACCACCAGGGTGCCAGGTGGCACACCCCAGCACGGCAATGGGCAAGGGCATGGACAGTCACCCTGCCAGGAGCTGGGACACACCAGGGGCAGTGGGGTCTTGGGCACAGAGCAGAGGAGCACTGGCCCCTGGCATGGAGAGGGCAGGAAGGCTTCCTGGCTGTTCTAGGCAGGGAAAACAGCTCCTGCAGAGAGGCTGAGCTGGCGAGGAAGACCCCCACATGGAGAGAGCAGATGGGACCAGGAGGGTGAGTGGATGGACAGCTGCCAGGCTGGGAATCCCAAACCTCATCCTCAAGTCCCCAGCATGTCTTCCTCCTGTCCCCTCAGGTGCTCTGTGCCCCACTGACTCAAGGAGGAGCCTCACCTGCTCTTTAACCACAACAGCACAGAGCAGACAGACACAGTTCTAGACAGACTAGAGCTGCCCCAAACCACACGGTGCTGCAGAGTGCACCCTGCTCACACGCAGCTCACGCTCCTGCTGCTCTGCCAGGGCACAGCCTGCACCCAGGGAGGGCCAAGCCAGCCATGTGGGCATGGGGGAACACCCACATCTCTGCCCCACTGGACCCTGGTTCCCATCCAGGGTTCACAGGCTGCTGGCCAGCCGGGACCCCACAAAAAGGCCTACTCACCAATGCGGTTGTTGGTGTGCTCCGTGGACACCCGGGACTCAGGGGGATCCCGGGAGGCCGCCTCATCCCCGGCAGGGCTAGCACCTAGCAGCAGCACGCTCTCGGGGCAGGCCGCCCCCACACTGGCACAGGTCTCCACAAGCTGGGGGCTCGTCACACTCAGCACTCCTGTATCTGCCTCCGTCCCCAACACGTCACTCCTGGCCCTCTGCACAAGGAGGGCAAGTGTTAGGCAGGACACCTCTAACTCCTCAACTCAGACCTGGGGGAGCCTCCCCTCTGCATTAGGGCCGCCCCAAACCACCCCCAGGCTTCTCAACCTCAGCACCTGGTTGAAGCTTCTGGGGACATCAGTTGCTTTTAATTTGTATGAAATAACAAAACTGCAGTCAGCCACTTGTGTGGCCTTCCACATGTCTGGCCAGCTCTGAGACACAGACACATTCATCTCCATAGACCCTGAGTATGAACTGCGTGGTACTAGTACCTGACCCTTGTTAGAGCCAAGGCTGATGGCACACACCTACTACTATCCCAGCACTCAGGAGGCTGAGGCAGGAGGATCTCTTTGAGTTCAAAACCAGCCTGGGCTACACAGTGAATTCAAGGCCAGCCTGAAACATACAGTGAGAACCTGCCTCAAAATTTATTTGTTTGTCTGTTTGTTTGTTACAAAGTCTTGGATAGTGATCCTCCTGTTTTTAGCCTCCCCAGTGCTAGGATTAAAGGCGTGACTACCAGGCCAGGTCTCCGGTGGCCAGCGCAGCATATGGTGCCTGGGATCTAACCCCAGGCTCTGCACTTGCCTAAGCAGGCACTTAGTCCGCTCAGCTATCTCGCTGGCCCTTCCCACAATTGTTTTTTTTTTTTACAAAAAGCAACTCACGAAAATCAGAAAGCATATTCTTGAATATTCTTTTATAGTAATTTGAAGGCCAAAAGACTGCCCACTTAAGTAAGTTAGTAGACTGGGCTGGCCCATGTTGCAAAATCACATTGTACTATCTTATAAATCATCCAATATTTTTTTCACGAAATTTCTTAGGAAGGGAGCAACCTTTCCAATCCTGGCCTAGTTGAATGTGAACATCCCTTAAGACTGAACTACAGTTCTACATACGATGTCTGAAGAACAGTGTTAGGGTTTATGTCTAGTTGATCCCACAAAGCCTTGTGAGTTACAGGGCGGGCTTCTAGAGTTTGTGATTAATTCGTGATCCTGGACTGGGATTACGGGTGTGAGTGCTACAGCCGGCCGGGAGCACGCAGCCTGAACGCAGCACAAAGGAGACAGAGTCACTCTCTGTGACTGTTCTTGCCACTGCTCCTCCCTTCTGCTCTTGCTGTTCTGCTATTTTCTGCCGCCATGAACGGCTGCCCTGTGCTGTGTGCCACTCTGCCTTGGAGCCAGCTGAGTATGGACCGAAACCTCCACAAACTGCGAGCTAAATAAACCTTTCCCTCCTTAATTTGGGGTATCAGGTATTTGGGCCTAGCAACGAGGCAAAAGTAACAAAGGCAAGCAGCAACTTTTCTTAGTATAGGAATGCTTAGATTAAAAGTAATGCTAAAAACCGGGCTGGTGAGATGGCTCAGTGGTCTAAAGCACCTACTTGGAACAAGCTTGGCAAAGCACAAGGACTGCGGTTCGATCCCCCAGCACCACATGCCAGCCAGCCCCACCCCCTGGTGGGCTGAGCTGGCCACACACACACACAATAAATAACACACACACACACACACACACACACACTAAATGTTAAAATAAAAAAAAATAAAAGTAATGCTAAAAACCAATAAATTTTTTTAAAAAATCAAACCAACAAGTGAGCCATACTTGAGACCCACCACACACAAATGCTTCACCACCACCTCCAGCTCCCAGGAGACTCCTGTCCCCATCCCTTGACCCCAGGAAGCTGGGCAGGGGAGGGGGCCAGGACCAGCACCCCACACGCCCTGTGCCTCAGGGCAGCTTGAGGGACACAGAGGTGTCTGAAAGCCCCCAGCCCTGAACCAGACGCATATAAATGATGTCACAGCTCGGGGGTGCAGGGCCCAGCGCCACCCCAGGGCACCCATGGCGCAGGGCTCCATCCTCACCGGGCCTCCAGCTGCAGAGTCCCTGACTTATCTGAGCTGCCAGCTCCTCCTTCGGAAGACAAGGTAAGAGCATCAGGCTCCCAGAGAGAAACAGATCTCAGGGCTCTCGGGCATCTCAGGACCAGCTTCCAGAAAATGCCCAGCTGTCCAGCACATGGTAAAAATGTGTGCTGCTGACGTATCACCCAGCCTTGGAGACAAGACTCTTGAAGGGAAGACGGAGGGAAGGAGAAACATCACACAGCCTTCTCCTGGACCAAACCTAATGCCCAAAGCAGCCCAAACCAAATGACCACCGCAAGCCCTTCTGGAAAATCCCCTGTGTCCGGGCCAGGAGCTGGAGGCTGCCTGGGGTGGGCGTGGAAGGGTCCTGGCCACAGTCTGCTGAGGCCTCAGGCTGGGCCCTACGCCCAGAGCTCTCCACTGAGCCGGCCCTGGGCTCTGGGGGAGGGGTCTCCAGTTCTCCCTCCCCCCTCCCCCCTCCTCTGTGGCCTAAGAAACTGCAGATCTGACTGGAAAGGGCGAGGGAGGGCTACTTACTAGCAGGTTCCTCCTGGGTCTGGAATCTGCAAAGAGTAGAAGAACAGCAAGCCCATCAAGGCGGGTCAGGCAGCCCAGTCCCTGCCCCGCCCCCATCACAGGTGGTGGTACCAAGCTCCAGCCGAGCACGGTGGGCAAGGCAGAGGGTCAGTGGTCACTTCCTAATACTCACTTCTCCCAACACTCGCTCCCTCGGGGCTATGTGCCACTCTGCGTGCCAGGGACTCCGCCAAGGGGTACCCAAGACCCCTCCCCAGCACCCAGCACATGCGTGCATGTGCAGCAGCTAGTTCAGGCAAGACATACGCTCCGACTAGAGCCCAGAAGCCTCCATGGGCCAGAGCGGGTCTGTGGCTGCTGCAGCCTGCCTCAGGGAGCCTGTCGAGGTGGTGGCCACACAGAGCCCACTGGAGGACCTCCAGCATGTGGCCCTCTGGCCGCTTCCCCTCCTTCCACACCAGCCTGTGGCTCCATCTTTATCGGCTTGTATCAAGCCCTTGCCCTCTGACCCAGGAAGCCCCTATGTCACACAGGGCCCAGGCTGTGGCTGAGCCTATGATGACACCCAATACTGGCTCACTGGCCACTAAAGGGAGGTGGGGTGGCCTCCAGGTTCAAATCCTTTGTGGGCAAGATGGCCCAGGCCCATCCTCCGGGTCAGGAAGCCCCTAACGCCCCAGGGGGGCCACATGTGGAGATGGGAGTGTGCCACACATTGAGGCCAGTGTGGCCACAGAGCCACCCCTAAAGTTTTCTACCTTTAGCAGCTCCAGGGAACAAGGAGCCCTGAGTCCTAGCTGACAGGTTCACTAAAGGTCAACTAACCACAAAGACAAAAGACCAGTCCAACGCAGTGTGACCAGGGCTGGGTCTGGGAAGCACTTGGCTTTTTTGTTTGTTTGTTTGTTTTTTCTTTTGTAGTACCGAGGCTCACACACAGGGACCTTCCACTGAGCTACAGCCCCTTCATAAATTCTTTAGTTTTTTGAGACAGGGTCTTGCCAAGTCTGAGGCTGGGTTGGAATTTGTGATCCTCCTGCCTCAGCCTCCCAGAGTGCCGAGATTACAGGTGTGCACAAGCCCTCCAAGTATCTCATCCGAGGTTACCAGCAGCAGCGTCTGGCAAGGAAGAAGACCAGATGATATTCGAAAGATGAGACACAGCTGGGTCTCAGTTTAACAAATGTGCCAGGCCTGCCACAAGTGTGCTGGTAGCTGTTGTCCCCAGCACAGAGGTCACCTTTGGTAGCTGTGGCTCGTTTCCTGGAGGTCACCACTAACCACTACCCAAAGCCACCACTCAAAGACACAGTCTGGCCTGGGGAACATTTTTAAAAATCATGTCAGCAAAGCCAAATCTTGGTCGTTGGAGAGTAATCTCGAATTCTGCCAACAGCCAGCTGCTTGGGGTACCAAAGCATCCACCCGCCAGGGAGGAAGAAGTATGTGACAAAGTAACAAAGCAAAATAAATAGAAATGACAAACTCAGAGCGTCTCAGAGAGGAAGTGGGTAGACCGTGCCGCAGGCAGCTCACGGCCTGGAAACCGGATCTGTCTTACTGCAAAGAGCCCGCTGGCAACGCAAACCTCAGGGCTCCCATTGCCACACAGACCCTCTCGGGGGCCACACCCTCAGGAAGTCACCTTGAAAGGACAAAAAGATTGCGTACAGCCGTGGTATTTATAAGAGCGGAAACCCTGTAAGTGAGCCAAAGCAAGTGCCGAGCAATGGAGGCACTTAGCAGAGCCAGAGGGGCCTCCTGGGCCATGAGAGCCGGTGCACTACTATCCTCCTCTCTGAGCCTCGGTTTTCTTATCTGGAAAATGGGACAAGTGGTGTCAGCTTTAGAGGACAGAACTAGATCTCAGGAGTGAAGGCGGCGAGCGCTGCGCTACTTGCCTTGCACATGGAAAGCACTGGGTTCCACCCCAAGACTAAAAAAAAGAATATAGAATGTATCTAATAGTCTTGTTACTGTTTAACTGATACAGGAAGTAAATTATGGGCCGGCGAGATAGCTCAGCGGTCTAAAGCGCCTGCTTCGGCAAGCTTAGACGAATGCGCAGGGACCACGGTTCAATCCTTGGCACCACATGTCAGGACAGCCTCACCCCCAGGGTGGGCTGAGCAGGCCCCAAAAATAAATAAATAAATAAATAAATAAATAAATAAATAAGGTAAATTAACTCCAAATCAAGCTGAGGGCTGGTGAGATAGCTCAGTGGACTAAGCACCTGCTCAGGCAAGCACAGGGACTGGGGTTCAATCCCAGGCACCGCATGCTACACCGGCTGCACCCCAGGGCATGCTGAGCCACCCCAAAGTCCGAGCATGGTGGCACATGCCTGTAATCCCAGCACTGGGAAGGCTGAAAACAGGAGAATCACTACGAATCCAAGCTGCATAGTGAGACACTATAGCAAATACATTAATAAATAAATTCTGAATCGGGCTGGGGATAAGCTCTTCCTTGGCATGCATGAGGCCCCTGGGAGCTGCAGAAATAAATAAAAGCATGATGGCGTAGTGAGCTAAGCCACGTTGACAGGAGGAGATAGAGTGGCGTGGTGCTCTGGTCTGTCCCCCACAACCGTGTCCAGTGGAAGCCTGGGAAAAGGCTTAGACAAATCCCCACAGGGAATGTCTTGCACACTGCCCGGCCAGCTCTCTGAGAGGCCATCAAGAGCCAGGCATGGTGGTGCATGCCTGTAATCCTAGCCCTCGAGAGGCTGAGACAGGAGGATCGCTGCAGGTTCGAGACCAGCCTGGGCAACAAAGTGAGCTCAAGGCCAACCTGAGCTGCATAGCAAGACCCTGATTCCAAAAGACAAAAAAAAAAAAAAAAAAAAAAAAAAAAAAAAA